ATGTTCTGTTAAAAGCACTTGGAAATACATTATGCTATTTCTATTGCCAATGTAATAAAATTCACTAACCACTATGAATATTAATGTAGGAATAAACTGAAAGTTGCTTAAAGGAAAGGGTTTAGTGAAAATCATAGAAATGTTGTAAAATGTTATTATAGTAAATAAATAGGTGATATATCTGTGAATTGTCCAAATAAAGCTGTTAGTGTAAAAATAATAGATAGAAGATGGTAAATGAGGAGAGGAATCACACGAAGAGGTACTGGTTTCCCCTGAATTACATAACCAAAACTAAAAGGGAACTGCTGAATTTAACATGTAAAATTAATGATGTGGAAACAGTGGGCCAATTAGACACTGCATTTTATTACTTTAATATAGATTAAAAAATATGGCAATGAATTAAGAAATGGGATAACTAATTGTTGCCCTTTATCAGTAGGAAATGGTATTATAGACCAATCAATTTCTATTGTAAAAAAAACATAATAATACCCTGTGTCATTGGCTTATATTTTATTCAATAGAAAAAGTGTTAATATTGTTACGACAGTAGAAGTCACGTTACGCTAGTAACACGGCACGAGATTCTAGAAAAATCATGTCCATTCGTGAAGCCTCGAGTGTTCTCCAGATGCCCTCTATTTCGTATATATAAGCCGGTAAATAAAGTGATGGCAATAATTGAATTGCAGACAGGCAGAAATAGAGACGGACAATTGAATCAAGCATGGTAAAGTGGGTGAATCGTTCGTTGTGAATTATAGCGTGTTTTTAAATTAATATGACTGTGGAAATTAAGTGTATTGCAAAGTTCAATTGAGAAAGAATAAACTAGTTTTATTTAAAAAAAGACTTGTATCGCTGAAGTCCTTCAGAGAGAATTTTTATGAGTAATTAACAAACGACCAGAGACGTAACAATATGTTTTTTTGGACAAATGGCATTCAAATAAAAGTGCCTTCTGCACACTGTAACTTTAAAGAAACATTGATCCATGAAGTGCAATGTTTGCATTTAAATGGCAATGAAAGACATTATTAAAGGATGCCGATGTTTTAGTGATAAGCCTTAAAACTTGAAGTAAAACTGATCAGGCTAGACTTTATAGATTTGTAAAATGGTGGTACTTAAGATATCGAATGTATTAAAAGGTATTACTGCAAATAGGTGCTTGATCTTTTACGAGTGATTCAATGTTATTTCTTTGAAAATTGTGTAATACTGTTATTGTGAATAATCTTATGAATTAGGTTTATCTTCTGGTTCTTTTCTGCTGATTCATTATTACTGCTATCATTATTTTGTGATTTTGATATTAATAATGATTTTTGTATTTTTTTTATATTTGTTTTTTTATTTGGAGATTAAGTTGTTTATTTACAATGTCCTGGCCATGCACTATTTTATTAGTGTTTAATATTTTGCAAAACTTTGACTGTGCTTACTAAATCTCCAATTTTTTCATATCCTGACAATAATATCATTATTTGGAATGTCATAGCACAGATAGTTCTACTATTCCTAGCAGTAGTAAGGTGAATAAACTCATGACTCTCAGGAGAGAAATGTCACATGATAAACAAATAGAAATCAAAGTTTGGGCACGTGATGGCTAGTCCATGTGACAGGCTGAGGCAAAATATCATACTTCTGTAGGAGCTGTACCAAAACCGTGATGATTGTACGTAAAACTAGAAGCAGTTAATATAGAAAGCCCAACATTTTCAAGAGAGGTGTTAAATAATTCAGGGTATGCTCTTTACATGGTACACAATTCAGTAGAGATCATGTCACTGACATAGCAGGAGTAAATGTTACTTTGAGAACAGTAAGATACATATCAGTAAGAAATGGCCTCTGTGAATGTGTAGTTGCCCAAAAACCAACTTCAAACAATGTGAAGAGCAAAGCCGAAGGAGGGTGCTATACTGATGTATTCAAATTCAAGTAAGCAAAAATCAATAAGGGCTTGCTTGATGGCAGACAAAGAAAAGTATTGTGGTTAAAACTGTTACAGTCAAGCATGCTATGGGATCAATGCAATTAGGACTGCATGGTGGAATGATATCTCGATGTTGCTTCAGTAGATTATAGTATATAAACTGAAACATCATCCTATTTTCATTCAACAGGCAGCTACAGTCCATTAAAGATCTCAAATCTATGGTACCTTGATGGTAAAGAGGCTAATGGAAAACTCACAATCATGGCTTGCCATACACAAAATTTCAGTATCAATATTCTTGAAGTTGTAAGGGCTCCTGTAGAAATTGAAAAGGTCTACAGGTGACCAAACAACATGACTGAAACGTGAGAGTAACACAAGATCACTAGCACAATATTCCACAACTGTATATTGATATATTTATTGTAGCAAAAATAAAATAAAGTGTACTTCTCTGTTTAAAGCAAGTATAACTAATGCATTATACAACTTTCTTTCTTTACTTTTCTTTTGCATTTTGTGTAATAATAATAAATTATAGTAATGATAAATTGACCACTTAGTTGCAATTACTCATTGTTAGTGCTATAATCTGTGTATTACAATGTATTACCATAATTAGTTCCAATAGTGTATCCACCAAATGTTCTTTTTAACTGCAACAGTGTGTTATAGATAACATTGAAATTACAAGCCACACAAGTCCAGCTAACAAATAATCTCAACACACTCAATGCTCAAGCATAGTAGCTTTAACAAAAATGTGAAATAATTATAAAAAAAGTTTTAAATAAACTTCATAGTACAACTAAACCCAGTACTACAAAGGCGATACTTCATATGCTAATTATAAGATTAAATTTGCATAAATATTCTATATGCAAGTTCCATTACTTTGAAAACATTTATTCATAAGATAATCAAAATGAGTAGTAAAAAAGAATTATGAAGAAATGGTGCCATCTTTTATCCTTTCAGTTAATGTAAGAAGACAAATATATATTTATATAGATATAATACCAGTTACAAATGTTATTCCCATGTAGTACACACACACACACATACAACTTAAACACACACAGTCTCAAGCAAGTGACACAATGTAACAAAGTGTTGCTTGTAGTACTACCATGATTTATTGTTTAGAAATATATCATTTGAATTTTACTCTAAAATGTGTTGATTTTTATGTAAGATAAACACATTTCTACCTAACCAGAAACACTGACACAATGTGAAATACCTATTGAAAATGCTGTTTAGCCAACCCCACAAACATCTGGTAGTGTTTGGATACAAATAAAAGCCTGTTTGTTGTTTCAAGAAAAAGGATATCTGCCAAAAACAAAACATCAATAAGTCTGCTGATATGAAAATAACAGGTACTTTCATGAGGCATAAAAATAAATAAATCCTTTTTCAGCTGTGTTAGTAGTCACAACAAGGTGAAAGAATAGAATGTAAAACAATCTACAGGATATGCAATTTTAATATACTACTAAAAAGTTTTAAAAGAGGAAGATGTCTAAATATCTTATTAACATCATGCATGATAAATAATGATCAAAATATATTTTCCCAAATTATTGTTTGTGAGAACCAACAAATTTACAAATACAAAATACATTGGTTCATATCAAATATATTACTGAGGCAAAAACCTAACCACTCTTTATTTTAATCCAGCCTAAAAATACTGTTATACTTCTGAAAATCAACAAAGTTAAGTGTTCATAGAAAGTGAATCTTTATTAAAACCAAGTAAGATACTAAGGCAAGAAAAACTTTTCTGCAAATATACTGAATCTTGGTAGGTAAATATAAGTATTATAAATAATAAACAATTAAATTATTTTAATAACTCAGAATATCAACTAACCCATTTACCTTGTATGAATAATACTAATATTAGTAACAGTCATATTCTTAAGTCTAATGACTAATATATTCAAAATTTTAAGATTTATAATATGCACAAATGTAGACTCATGACAGTAAGTCATGATGTGACTTTTGGGCAAGATTATCCATATTACTGGCAGTGATAATCAATTTTTCTTGCACAGCTGACAGTTCCAACTTTCATCAATTTTCTATCCCTATTGTCAGTCACTTTTTGAATATTTTTCCCAATCCATTTGCAGTGAAATAAAGGTATAAACTGCAGATGATTTATCAATTTTAATTATATTTGAATGTCATTCATTTATACTAAGTGTTGCCAAAAGATATCACCAACAAAGATCAGAGAAAATGTGAGCAATCCATAACTTTCATGAAAGCCTTTCTTTATACTTTAAAGTATAAGTTTACTTTCAGCTCATTTATCTTACTTTAAATTTAAGTATAAATTATAATCCATTTGAATATTATTGAAACACCTGCAAACTTAGACTTTTTGCAGTTTTTTCAATCATTTTTAATAAAAAGTTTTATACATTTTTAAAAAATTATTTGAACAAATTTTGGCTTGACATTTTTCATTTTTGATTATGAAAACTTAAGTTTGACGATTTGATAAAATTGTAAAACTCAGAATCCTTAAGAACTGTTAAAGAGACATTACTGGCAAAAGTCCCAAAAGAAAAGATACTCATATCATTGGAAACAAAGGTGCAAATATGTTAATTTTAATCTTCATGAAAATGTGCATAAAATTAGCTCAAAAAACTGCAAAAATTTGCCATTCATGCAGCTTATCTCTATAAGTTGTGATTATCCCATTTTTAGGTATTGTGCCAGACATATGCGAACTTATAATTGGAAAAATCAAACTTCTGATCAATAAATTCATAAATGTTATGCAAATTCATTTGAACTTGTTAATACTGTGGTGTTTTGCTTTTAAAGAATCAAGCAGTGGTAAATTTACATATTTTCACTGGCACAGAATTATTAAAACATGTGAAAATCAGCCACATAGGTATAAAATTATTCTCAGAAATTAAATTCCAATTATATTTTAGACTGGTCAACATTACATTTTTCTGACATTGGCTATCAAATAATACTCAGCCAGTTCACAAAAAATCATTTTATTTATATTACCCTTGGGCTTATATAGAAATTTGATCTTATTATTCATGTCTCCTCTTTTGGATTATAAAAAAACCTTGTTCTAGACTTTTTGACCAAAATCCATGTGGCTGCAAGCAAAATATCTTTCCACATTTAAGCACTTAAAATGTTATACTGAGATGACAACAAACATTCTTAGTTATAAAAGCACACAAAATGTTCTTTAATTTATAATATCAAATATTTAGGCCAAATGTCAATACAAACAAGTATGTGTTTTAAACATGTATTTGTGTGATTGTTTTGTTAAATTTCATGTAAAGCTATTTAACTTTTAAGGGTTATCTGTGCTAGCCATCCATAACTTAGAACTGATAGAAATACAAAGAAGGCAGCTAGTTAACACCACCCACCAATTATTAGGTTACTTTTTACCAATGAAATGTGGAATTGACCAACACATTATAATACATATCCCACAGCTGCAAGGGCAAACATGTTTGTCAATAGCAGTCAAACTCATGACCTGCCTGTGGATGATGTTGAGTAACTGCCTTCCATGCGGACTATCACTTCAAAATTTAGGGGCGAATGGCACAGATACTGAAATAGCTTTAAAGTAGCTTTGCTCAAAATTTATCATGGATATATTGGGATATACTTCAAAGTCCCAATATACACATATATATTTTAACTCGAAATATTCATTGGACCATTACACCTAGCTAGCCCCAGCCTAGAATGAATTGTAATTGTATTACTATTAGTACTAATCAGTATTCACTTAGTTAATCCCTAAAACTCGATTTTCAACCAAATAAGGTTGGATTAGCTCCTATTCTTCGAAACATAATTCATTATGTTTACAAATTTTTAAAGAAATACATGAAATAGCATACCATTATTGTACATGTATATTTATTTACCGTTCGAATATTTTCATTGGCACAGGAGTATTACAACATGTGAAAATCACTTAATCAGCTACATAAATATAAAATTATTCTCAGAAGTTAAACTACAATTATTTTTAAACTGGTCAATATCACTTATTCTATTCAACGATGAAAAAGTCGCATCTATGTACATGCCCCTTAAAATAAAGAAAAATAATTAAACGTACATATTTTAAATGACAATAATGGTAACCATGTTAAAGGTAATTCCGTTTTGATCGCGAATTTTTTTGTCCCTGTAAATCATTTTTAATGTTATGCCAGGAGTTTATTAAGGCTAGAAATATTTATATATATTTGCTTATACCACATCTCCATACATAATTCATTTGTCATAACCAAAATAATTTATATTTGCACCTTTTCAGAACTAGTTTAGAATACATCTGTAATAAGGTATTGTTGCGTCAGCGAGGTCACGTAACTAGTATCATGCCACTTCTTTCTCGAACCTTTCGTCGGAAACGAAGTTATGGAAAATTAACTAACGAACGGAGACGTAACAAATTGGTGTCAGAGAGTGGGATAGAAAAAAAAAGAAGATGGAAACGAGAGGCGGAAAATCAAACTACAGCTTAGCAGATTTGATGGCAGCAATACAAAAACAGAAAAAGAAACAAGAAGAGAGACAACAGCAGTTGCAAGAAATCCTGCAACAGTGGAAACTCGAACAACAAAATAAACAATAAAAGAAACAATAAGAGAGACAACAGCAGTTGCAAGAAAACCTGCAACAGTGGCAGCTCGAACAACAAAATAAACAAGAAAAGAAACAATAAGAGAGACAACAGCAGTTGCAAGAAAACCTGCAACAGTGGCAGCTCGAACATCAAAATAAACAAGAAAAGAAACAAGAAGAACGAGAAGAGAAATCACAGCAGTGGTTGGAGGAAAAAGAAAAGAAACAAGAAGAACGAGAAGAGAAATTACAGCAGTTGTTGGAGGAAAAAGAAAAGAAACAAGAAGAACGAGAAGAGAAATTACAGCAGTGGTTGGAGGAAAAAGAAAAGAAACAAGAAGAACGAGAATAGAGATT